AAATATTAAGTTTTAATATTTAACAAAAATTACGAGCGTTTTATTAATATTGAAAATACTTTATTTTTAAGGTTTAGAAGGCTATTCCAAATTCTAAGCAAAGATTCTGTTAAAGAGATAAAGGCTAAAAAGACACCAAGATGTAAAACATCTGCATTATTCAAATAAGAATAAATTAAAAAATACCTGAAACAGGTAACATGTTCTCCTTTAGCTCCATCTGGATCCTTCTAGTTATTAAGTCAAGGGAATCTGTAAAAAGGAATATATGTGTGTGTGTGTCTGTCAAAAATGCCATTCAACATAGATATCAAAAGACTTAAAGCGGAAAACCTACAGAAAAGTCCTCCCTCAAACACATATACGTGTGTATCTATATATATAAATATATATATCTATTTCTAAGTATTTATAATGCACATTTTGGATTTAAGTTGATCATCCTTTTTGTGCAAGTATTAAGAAAACTTTTTTCATTCCAGTGATTTAGTATGAAACTTGATCATAAATGTTTTACAATGAAAGTAATTTACTTATATGTAAGTTGCCTAGGCAAGTTTCAACTGGAAGCTTACATTCTCCAATACAGGTATATAGGAGATACGTACCAGTGAAATCAATAGGACCTTTTCAAAAATTCACCGATTTTTTTCAATTTTAATCAAATAATATAATGAAGTTTCTTTTTTTTCTTTTTAGGGTAAATGTTATATATAAGGGACACATTTATTGAAAGCTGAGAAACAAAATGAGTTAATTCTTACCTACAAAACATTCTGAACAGCTCTTATAAGCCATCTGTTATTGGAGTGGCAAATATTCATAGAACACCTAAAGAAAAATATATTTGGATTATTCAGAAATGTTTTCTCTTAACATTTGTAGATATCTATTAAATAAAATACTTAAAATTACGTCAGTACTATCTATAAAGTTAAGCACTATTTCATAAAGTTTCTCATAGACTGTAAGAAAAATATTTCTGTACAAGCTTTCTGCTTAATGCAATCTTTTTCTACCATCTCAAGGGAAAGATACAACACAAGCGCCATAACAAAGTCTATCCCAAAGCAATAGTCATGCAACTGCAACTATGAGAAAAGCCAAGCATGTTTACCTTTCTCTTATTCTCAAGGTTACACACATTTAAAATACTTCTGTTTGAAGTGATAGAATTACATTATCTTAACTGAAATTTCACCAGAGATAATTTTATAAAGCTCTTTTTAGAGTTTATTTTTTTATAATCCACAGAAGTATCCAAATTTTACCTTCTTAACATTTACACCTTACTTTAATATCATTTTCTGTAAAAAAAAAATATTGGCCTTTTTTAACTTTAACAGTTCGCCTTATTACAATTTTCCAGTCATATAATACAACTTTCAAATCCATAATCATAACTTTAAACTTTCAGTGAAACCTCAGAGCTACTTATCTATATAGAATTTTTAAATACAACGGTTTTTGGTTGATTAATCAGTTGAAGCCACATCTCCAAAGGATTTTAAAATATTTGCTAATATTACAAAAATATACCAAATGCTCATTCTATGCTACAACTTTCTTATCTGATAACATTTAAAACTACAAAGCCTAACAAATATTACATATTGATCCAGGAGGAAAATACATTAGGACAAATTAATTAACACACCATTTTAAAAATGGACAGCCTATCATCCAAATATTCATTTTAGCAGTTAAGTTCCAAACATTAAACACTGAAACCAATGAAAAAGTAACGAAGCATTTTAAGTTTTTACTTTCTGTTAATGAAGAGGTTTGAAGATTAAATTTGCATGAGAAAAACGCCAGAAAGTTCAAACTTCAAATAAAACACATCACAAAAACATGTTCTCCAACTTTTAAAACTGTTTTCATATATACTTCATCACCTACTGCTAGTTGGTTGTTTTTTTTACTCATAATCGACTCTAGTTCCAATTTAGCTTACTCAATTAGATAACTGGCATACTTCTAAAAGATGCACGTATTTAAAGAACCTCATGTGTTTCATCCTAAACTTTCATTAGAATCTTTCATTTTGGAGAAAATGTTTTTAATTTGGTTATCACTGACCCCCAAAAAACCCTTGTTTGCAAAATTGTTTCCACATACCTAGTTTAGAAAGAGTTAAATGCCAACACCCAAATACAGAAAAACAAATTTGTTTGGAGAGAAAGAGACAGCCATGGCGTCTTTTGTTCTTACAAGAGAGAAGAAGAAGAAGAAGAAGAAAAAAAGCAGGGCTCTTTTCCTTTCGGTAACAATGGAGGACAAGGACTCTTAAAGAACTTGAGACTTTGTCGCAGACATCCTGCATATGGAATCACAGTATATCTTTTCATTTCCCTGATCCAAATATTTTCAAAGGGTGTTGTCCCAATTTGCTGCAGACCCCCCCCCCTTCTGTAGCTCCATAGCAAACCACCCTCTGATACCTTGCCCTTCCAGTTATTTATTCTAAGGAAGAAAAATATAGAAATCCAGCACGCAGACCTTGCAAATCTGTATGGGGAAGAATGATGGCATGGACCCCTGATATATATATATTGGGGGGGATGGATATAATCCCTAGATTTCTGCTGGGTAAGGGAGGGGGAAGAAAGGAGGAAAACTGCAGTTCAATGGCGGCTCTGGTTTGACATCCACCTCCTTGATGTCAGGTTTTGCGCCTAACCAGGAATCTGGGGGAAGGGGGGGGGCTTTCTAAAAAAACAAAAAACAAAAAAACACGGAACCAGAGGGCGTTTTAACAGCCTTTTACAGCGATACCCCCAAACAGGGAGGAAAGGAAAAGCCCCCCCCACCTCGAATTCCACATTATGTTTTTCACCCCAGTCTCAGTGTACCCCCCAAAATCGTGGCAGGAGCATCCACACCCACAAAGGTGGACTTTTTTCACCTCCAGAGGAAAAACCCCATCAACAGCAACAAGGAATCCCACCACCTCGCCCATCTGGTCGCCGGGATCGAGCCCCTCTTTTATAAGAAGTCCTCCCCCCCCACATACACAGACCACTGAATTTGGGGAGGGGTACCCCGAGACTTGGGGGGAAAGGAGCCTCTCCGGCTTTGCACCAGAAAGCCCCGGTCCGAGGAAGAAAGGGAGCTGCTTTTCTCCCTTCGACGCCCACCTTGGAAGCGGCGGGCTCTTCCTCCTCCTCTCGGCGGGAAGCCTCGGCGCCCCGATTCCAGTTGGGGGACCCCCTCCCGCTTCCGAGGCGCTTGGGTCGGGTCTTTTCCCCGCAGAAGGGCAGGGTCCCCGGGTTCTTGCCGCCGTTCGTCGCCCTCCCCCCCCCATCCCTCAGGCGGCTCCAAGGACATCTTGTTTTCCTTCTCAAGGACAAAGAGACAATGGCGGATGGTGGGGGGGGCGCGGCAGAGACGGAGGAGAAGGGCTTCGCAGGGCGGCAGCTGAGGCGATACTCACCGTCCTGAGGCGAGGCGAGCGGGGCTGGCCGAGCGGCGGCGCCCCGGAGGGCGGACGGGCGGCGGGAGAGCCGAGGCTGCCTTGCCGCAGAGGCTGCTCCCGGGTCCGCCGCGGTCTCCAGCCGGGCAGGACACCCTCCCCCCCAGCTCGGGAGCCCCGGCCAGCGGAGCCCCCGACCCTGAGGCCGCTCTCGGCCCGGGAAGGTTGACGGGAGAGGCATCCCGCCGAGAACGGAGGGAGGGAAAAAAGCCGCAGCCGCTCGCGAAGCAGCTGCCCGCCCGGCCATCTTGTGCCCTGTGCTAGCGACTGTGTGAGGGAAGCCTCCGCCTGTCTTTGCCGTCTCTCCGCGAAGCTTCCCTCTCCTCCCCTCCCCCACCCGCGCCCCTGCCCAGACTCCCAAAATGGCCGCCCTCGCTCCCTAAGCCACTACTGCGGCAGGGAGGGAGGGGGGCGGGGCCGGCGCGCGCCTCGGCCTCCCTCCAGCGCGCCTGCGCCCAGGCCGCCTCCCGATTGGCTCGCCTTCCTCCAGAAACCCATTGGCCGCCTTCCTGGCTCGAGCTCGCGCTCGCCTGTCCCCAGGCTACGGCTCGCTATTGGCTCGCCTCTTCTTCCCTCCCTCGCTATGTTTTTCTACCCCCTCCCTCCGCCCATGCGTTCCGTCGTGTTGTGCACCAGCGGCGTTTCCCCTCTCCCCCCCCCACCTTTTTTTTTTTTTTTTAAACCCAACTGCATTGAGCTGGCTTGCCACGAGCGCGTAACGGGCTCTGATTGGTCCGCGGGCAGCTGCTCTCGCGCTCTCTTCCCCGCAGCTGCTGCCCCGCCCCCCCGATGACGAAATGCCTTTTCAAGGTGGATCCCTCCTCTCGCAGAATAATGGGGGGAGGGGGGAAATCTGGCGTCGCTGATTGGTGGAGGAGCTTAAAGCAGTACAGGCGCCCCCTCCCACGAGGATTCCGCCTAGATGCGTCCTAGAAGCTCGTTTGTGGATGCTCCACTCCATTGTGGCTGTGTGTTTATGCATCCACACCAAATATTTGGTGGATTATGGATCATCGAGTCTCTGCTGACTTGAGATCCAACCTCTCCAGCAAGACCTGCCCCCAACTTGGTCCTCCTTCAGGTCTTCCAATGTTGCCTCCATCACTTGGAGTCCATCCATCTTGTTTCTCTGGTCATCCTCTTCTGGTCTCCCAATTTTCCAAGTATTATGGGCTTCTGAAAGGAGCAGAGTCTTTGCATTGGTTGGCTGAAGTGTTATGTGCCATAAAAGCCAATGTTGGACCTACACAACTGTAGAGATAGAGCTCTAGGAAGATTTGTCCCCATCCTGATCCTTCAGGTCTTCCTTTGTCGTAGCAACGGAGTCCATCTATCTTGGTCAGCCTTCTCTTTCCTCTCCGTTGACTGGATGATTATGTGCTACCGGGTTCTTGACTTATAGCAGGGGTCTTCAAACTTGGCCCTTTTATGACTTGTGGACTTCAACTCCCAGAATTCCTCAGCCAGGTATGCCTGGCTGAGGAATTCTGGGAGTTGAAGTCCACAAGTCATAAAAGGGCCAAGTTTGAAGACCCCTGACTTATAGGAACCACAAATACAGACTTCAGGAGGTCTTGACCCCAACCTGGTCCTTCAGGTCTTCCAATGGTACTTCCATCATCGTTGTAATTGAATCCATTTTCCTCTTGCTTGTCTCCTTCCTTTTCCTTCCATCTTTTCCAACTTTAGGGACTTCTCCAAGAAGTTGTATCCTTGGGAGTTCAAGTTCACAAGTCTTAAAAGTTGCCAAGGTTGGGGAGCCCATTAAAAAGTGGGAAGCAACTAAACAATACTAGGCGATTGAATATATTCGTTACAGTGCAAGGTCAACTTCCAAGTTGAGATTGTTAATTAAAGGAAATCACTAAACCTCAAACCATGGTCACAGAAGTCTTGGAAAGCCAGTATGATTCAGCTACAGTTGAGTTACATCTCTCGCACATAATCAGTTCCAAAAGACAAGTTAATAATTTGTGAAGAAATCAACATCTGAAGGCCATTCTGCAAAATGAAAACAATATTCGCACGATACACTAAAGCCCAAAATAGAGTGCCATATAAAGAACCAGTGTAGTTATTTAGGATGTCATGCAGAAGCCCCCCCCCCAAAATGTGTTAATTCAAACGTGTGAACATCTTAGCTTGATAGCGACCATTTATAGATCAAGGAAGACAATAAGAAAGACAACCAGGAGGAAACTATGGTAACTATGAAAGCTTCTACTGTAATTGCCACTAACCCTTGGCTATAGACTCAGCCCATAGTGGTTGCTTTTACTCATGGCATACGGAATAAGTCATAATGATTTAATTTTTCTTTTTAAATCTAAGTTAACAAGCTGCAATGCCTGGCATCAGACATTATTACAGCAAGTGATACTATAATATAGAATTTAATAGTCCAACTTCTGAATCAGGATCAGTTCAAAATTAACCAATGCTGTTTTCCACATAGTAGTCCAGGGTCTGAGACTTGGACTTTGATCAAGCTGAACTTTCATCTTTAGGAGAAAGAAGCAGTTGCTTCTTTCCAATATTGTGCCATTTATTTAAATGCCTTAAAATGACAGTATAATTTTAGTAATTGTGATACCAATAGTTTAGAAAACAGGCATTTAATTTGGCTATGAGGAAAAGTATTTTTTCTTCCTTGCATTCCTCTTTTATTACATTCCTATATGAAATACATACCTTTAGTAACTGTATTTATATATAAACCCAAGTTACTCCGTAACGTAAAAAGTACGCTTCTAAGTTGCACCAGTTCTCGCTACTTTCATATTGCAAATTTGGTCTGGTATTTTCTGTGATCTCAAACCTATATCATCTAGTATCTGATAGAAAAAGGAATAAATTTCTGATGATACTTGTGAAGGATAAGCTTCCAGCTTCAGAACAAGATATAGCAATTCAGATCCTGCTGAGTTTACTAGCTGTGCATCATCTACACAACAATAAAATACATTTCAGGTGTTTGTTTTATGGCATAATAAATATGTTGTTGATTTCACTTGATTTCTTAATTTAAGAAAAAAATAAGTTCTTAAAAACAGTTTTTCTGTTTTGGATAGATTGTAGCAACAGTCTGAAGTTATTTTTTCACTGTACAGTATATTGAAATCCAGAAAGAAAACTCAGCACTGCAGCCCACTGAATGCAGAACTGAGAAGTAAAAATGTGTCAAGGATTCTCCATTTTGAAAAACGGATTATTCTTTTTACACAGCACTAGATTTGGATGTCAGCTATCAACACACGGTAATTTTTTCAACAACCTAGTCAAGAAGAGTACATGGAATTGTTGAGTAGCTAACAGGGATCCTTTTGTCCTTGGATTCTCAAATATAGAAATGTTAGCCTTACTCTCTACATCAGAAAACCTTGTGAATTTGCCCTGGAACTGAAGTATTCTAACTGCAGTGGACTAGGTAGTATTTAGTTTCCCAACAGAGAATATATAATTGTAAAAGTGGGGTGGTGGAATAGAAGCTATTCTTGTGCCAATAATCTCTGACAGGAGACTAAATCTTTAGGGAGGAAAATGACTGTAAGTTTTAACTATTCAGTTGCTGCAAATCACAATAAGAAAGAGATTGAAATACTGGAAAGACATACTATAAGTCTAGCCTGTCTTAGAATTCTGATTCTAAGAAGCTGCTCTAGCTGAACCAGTAGAATGCCAGCCTTAAAGAGACTATCATCTATTCTTGCTCTAACCTGAATATTTCCAGGATTATTCATGCATACTGTATATTATCAATCAGACCCTACAGCTACAGTATATGTAAGAGTATGCTGTTTCAATCAGTTTAGCCACTCTATTGCTCTGTCCTTTACAAAATGAAGTTGTAGCATGGTTAATCTATATAGCATACCTGAAAGATCTTTTCAGACTGCCCGTTCATCAAAGGATGTGATTTTATTCTATATTTCTTCTTCACTAACCTTTAAGAAAATTGTAAAATAATGTTTAAACACTGGGCAAATTTCAAACTGAAAACAATCATATCCATCTCATCCAATTTTATAAATAAGACCATGGTTATTGCAAATGTTTGGTGCACCCATATACACGTCTGAATGAAGTATTTCTGTGCAATTCAGATTAATTTTTTCCCCTCAGTTATAAGCTCGTTTCTCAGCATAACTCCATACCCTCATCTGATTACCTCGTTCCAAGAAAAACAGAAGAGCTTCAAAGCGAGTCCCAACAGGTTTCTTTTGGCTAAGTTTGACAGCTGGATAAGCCTTTTCTACCAAAATGAAACCTGACTTTCTATACAGCCATCTCTCTTCCCAGTTTGAGCTTAGTCAAAATGTCAATATGAAACCTAGAATAGCTAGCAACAGGATGAAACATCTGAAAACATAGGTAAAACAGTAAGAAAAAAAAAACCACAAGCAAATCACCACTAACAAAACCACTGGTGACAAGGTATTAATCGCCACTAGTCTCCTGAAAAAACCAGATTTCCATTCTCTGAAAGATGACTAGGTTTGTTGATATCAGATGGTTCTCTCAGGAGAGTACGTTTGATGAAGAAGTTCTTCAACTGTCAAGGCCTTCTATGGCCCTCTAGGGTCTTACTTCTCTACCTGGCACCACCTGAGTGCCTTGATTGAGCAGTGAGGCTGGCTATGATGTTTCATTTAAATACAAGGTCCTGAGCTCGTAGGAAACCAAATCTTCCTTTGCAATCTCGTCATCTCTTAGGCTTTCCATTCAAGAAAACTTTAACATGGCCTATGGAACACTCCTTTGATCTGTATCACACCCAAATCACTCCCAGTTTGAAAACAAAAGAAAATACAGCCAGAAGGAGAAAAATATAGGAATGGCAACAGCCATGCTGGCTCAGGAATTCTGGGAGCTGAAGTCCACGAGTCATAAAAGAGCCAAGGTTGCCTACCCCTGCACTAGACCAAACTGGCTCATCCTTTTATTATCCATGTATTGCCCATCCTTCCATTTTCCACTAAGTATGTACTCTTCTGCTCTGGGAGCCATTTAATGTACTTTATGCCCACAAAATGGCTGGACACGGTAGCAATCACAACACCGGCAAACACCACAGTGGACACTCTTGTGTCTTGTGATGTATTCCTTGCATCAAGGGCATATGATCAGAGGATGAGATCAGTCCAGCCTTGTTAGCTATATATAATGTGGGATCAGGCATTTCCTGATGTTCAAGCCTTCTATACCCCAAATGATAAATAAGCTACTGCCTTTCTTTCCCTCTGAAAAGAGCCTACATGCCATATACAAATTTTGTGTACCAAACTCCATTGTGCATACAGCAACCGTTCCTAGATTGAGCCTCTGCCAATAATAATAATAATAATAATAGTAGTAGTAGTAGTAGTAGTAGTAAAGTTGGAAGGGACCTTGGAGGTCATCTAGTCCAACCCCCTGCTCAGGCAGGAAACCCTATACCATTTTGGACAAATGGCTGTCCAGTCTCTTCTTAAAAACTTCCAGTGTTGGAGCATTCACCGCTTCTGGAGGCAGGTTGTTCCACTGGTTAATTGTTCTAACTGTCAGGAAGTTTCTCCTTAGTTCTAGGTTGCTTCTCTCCTTGATCAGTTTCCATCCGTTGCTTCTTGTCCTGCCTTCAGGCGCCTTGGGAAATAGCTTGACTTCCTCTTCTTTGTGGTAGCCCTTGAGATATTGGAAGACTGTTATCATGTCCACCCTCGTCCTTCTCTTTGTTAAACTAGGCATACTCAGTCCCAGCAGCCGTTCCTTATATGCTTTAGCCTCCAGTCCCCTAATCATCTCTGTTGCTCTTCTCTGTACTCTTTCTAGAGTCTTTCTAGAGTCTAGAGCTATACTTAAGCTCTAAACTCTAAAACTATCTGGTAAAAATATTTATCTCTTTCTGAGATAAATAATAATAATAGTACGGCATAAGGGCTGAATTGGTACACACAAAAGAGGTCCTGCATACTCCAAACTTTATTTTCTTATTTTCTGAAGGACAGTTTGTATTGTCCTGAAGACCTATCCCTGTTGTTAGAAGTGGAGACAGGTCCTCGTCCATTTTTGAGAGCCAGGAAAAAAAAAAAAATTAAATTTGTCTTGAACTGTGAAATAATTCTCTTCCTCATGTTTGTCGTTTTTCTGGGGACAGAAAACCTCAGAGATCCTGGGTGGGGGAATTTAGCAGCAAGGAAAACCAGAAGGACAAGTGTCCTGTTGTTTTCGGCTTCCTCCCACATCTTTGAGCATTAAATATAGCCTGTGTAGCAACAGCCTTGGGCTTCTCTTGGAGACCTAGCCAATGAAAGCTTCGAAAAAAACGGCATAATTCTTCAACCACACCTTCTAGGGATGGGTGGGCAGAGCTTGCAGCCTAGCTACAGACCGACAAGCACAGCTTTTTAAAATCAAGTGGAAAGACCTTGGTGGTTTCAGCATGCAACAGAGGAGAAAGCTTGGCGATATTTTGATTTGCATCAGTTCACACAGATCAGGGCAATACAGAAGAACAGAGTTGGAAGGGACCTTGGAGGTCTTCTAGTCCAACCCCCCTGCTCAAGCAAGCCACCCTATACCATTCCAGACAAATGGCTGTCCAGTCTCTTCTTAAAAGCCTCCAGTGATGGAGCATCTACTATTATCCGAAAGCAAGCCCTTCCCCTGGTTAATCTTCCTTTGCTCTAGGCCAGTGGTTCTCAACCTGTGGGTCGGGACCCCATTTGGGGTCGAATGACCATTTCACGGGGGTCGCCAAACAATGCAGTTAGAGTCTAATTCTATTGGCTTTCAAAAGCCAATAGGAATTGTCCAGGCTGTCTCTGCCCTGCTGATCCCGCCAAAAGTCCCATTCTGCAAACAGTGCTGCACCAGTTGAGTAGTCCTTGACTTATGACCGGTTGAGTAGTCCTCGACTTACGACCGGTTGGGGGTCGCAGCATTAAAAAGGTTGAGAACCACTGCTCCAGGCTGCTTTTCTCCTTGATGAGTTTCCATTCATTGTTTCTTGTCCTGCCTTCTGGTGCTTTGGAGAATAGGTTGACTCTTCCCTCTGTGGCAGCCCACCAACTTCCACAGCTGAACCTGTCTACCAAGTCAGTCCCACGTTTGTTTCTCACTTAGACCTACTCTTGCCCTGAGTATTAGAATTCTTCTGCATGGGTGGCTCTTCAGTGGCATGATTTTTGCAAAATGGAAACAAACAAACAAACCACAATTAAGAAGCCATAAACCGAATAGGATGCAGTTCCAGAGTAAAACCGAGAATTATCTTGTCAGTGACTGCAGAGAGGGGGAAACATGCTGGTGCTGTTGAATTTACACATCCTGCTAAACCTGGATTTCTCAGTAAAAAAGCAGGGCAGGCAACAGCAGGCGTGACTCACACAGAGGAAATTGCACACATAGGAACCCAAAAGGAGGGGCTCTAGATATCTCTCTAAGCTGAAAACCCACACAATTCACTGTGGCATAGACTCTTAAGCCAGGGCTTTTCAACCTTTTCACCCATTGTACCACTTTTAGGATATGGCAACATCCGAGGACCACCACTCGCCTAGCAAGGTGTCAAAAACTTGATGACCAAAAAAAAAAAAAAGGAAAAAAGTGATAAAGTACAGGTAGTCCTCGACTTACAACAGTTCGCTTAATGACTGTTCGAAGTTGCAATGGCACTGAAAAAAAGTGCCCCCCAAGCCACAGCCGAGCAAGACACCTGCCTGCCCACCCGGTGGCGTTCTTCCCCCTGTCCGAGGTTTTCATTGTTGTGAGCCTTTCTGTTGAGGATTGGCAGCGGGGGTAGGGTGGGGGGTGTTTGGTTTTTATTCCCCCCGTCTGCTGGGTGGTTGCCAACAAAAGTACATATAGTCAAGGCCATGGTTTTCCCAGTTGCAATGTATGGCTGTGAAAGTTGGACCATAAGAAAGGCTGAGCGCCAAGGAATTGAAGCCTTTGAACTCTGGTGCTGGAGAAGACTCCTGCGAGTCCCCTGGACTGCAAGGCGATCAACCCTGACTGCTCTTTAGAAGGCCAGATCCTGAAGTTGAAACTCAGGTACTTTGGCCACCTAATGAGAAGGAAGGACTCACTGGAGAAGAGCCTTATGCTGGGAAAGATGGAGGGCAAGAGAAGAAGAGGACGACAGAGAATGAGGTGGCTGGATGGAGTCACTGAAGCAGTAGGCGTGATCTTAAATGGACTCCAGAAGATGATAGAGGACAGGAAAGCCTGGAGGAACGTTGTCCATGGGGTCGCGATGGATTGGACATGACTTCGCAACTAACAACAACAATAAAATTTATGTATAAACTAAAAAATAAACTGATACCAGTGCTAGTTACAATCTGCTGTACAGTTTATCCCCAGCTTTTACATCCAACTTCCAATATCTTATCTTAGGAAGAAACTCGCCTAAGCAGAGTTACATTAGCCTATTTAATTTGTGGGCTGAGTATCTTCCCAGTAGCTTTATTTGGCTCCTAATCTAGTTGGACAAGTTTGACTGGTACACAGCAAAGGAGTCCTGCTTTAAGACTAATAAGGCCTGAATGCAAACAGAGCTATTAATATCACGCTAAGTAAGAGTTGGAAATATTTTCTAGCAGAGAGATCCGATTCTGCCTTGACTAGATGGGCTATTCAGGGCTGCTTCATAAAACTTGCGTGGCAAATGTGGTGCCAGAATTCTCTTTTCAAACTACAACAATGAATTTGCGAGTTTAGCCAGCCTCCCCCAAAAAGGTCCAGATTTTCTAATCCAATTTTCAAGTGAAAAATGTCATCCGTTGTTTTGTTAAGTGCTAACTCTATCAGTGATGTTTTTATATTGCCCACAGACTTAGTTTGATACGGGACAAACTCTTTGGAGGCATGGGAAAAGTTCACATAGAAAATCCTCTTTCATACCAACAAACTGTGGAGCAGACATCTGGAAAAAGTTACTTTGACAGATAGTTTTCTTTGTGTGGGGAATATATGGGGGAAAAAAAGAGAGGGAAAATTGTTCTGTCAAGAAATTTCTCCTTAATTCCAGGTTGCTTCTCTCCTTGATTAGTTTCCATCCATTGCTTCTTGTCCTGCCTTCATGCTCTTTGGAGAATAGCTTAACCCCGTCTTCTCTGTGGCAAACCCTGAGATATTGGAAGGTTGCTATCATGTCACTCCTAGTCCTTCTTTTCATTAAACTAGACATACCCAATTCCAGCAACCCAATTATGCAGCACTGTGGGAGATATTGACCCTGACCAGGAGAATGGCCAATTCATGGGGATGCTTTATCCCTTTGCTACTGTATGTTGTTTGGAAAGGAGAATTCATGACAGTGTCCCAAGTGAGGCCAGCTACCTCCTGGGGTTGTGAGAAGAACGAAGAGCTCAGCGGTGAAAACAACATTTGTTGGAGTAGGAAACAACGAGAACCCATCTATCTCTACAGGGAGAGAAACAGAGGCAAGAGACTTGCCAGCAACAGACTGTTGCTTCTGCAGAGACACTCAGTGCTGGAAATAAGAAATTTGTTGCATCAGCAACGAAGATCTAGCATGAGCAAATTCCTGGAAATCTTGCAACCCTGAAGACCTGATGACACTGTCATCTAATGAATGGGCCATGTTCTGCTCCATTTATGGAAGAGCCCTTGGATGGATCATGTACTACCATAAGGGAAGACTTTTTTGAGACAAGAAGCAACCTAATTAGCAAACTAATCAAGGAGAGAAGCAACCTAGAACTAAGGAGAAATTTCCTGACCATTAAAGCAATTAATCAGTGGAACAACCTGCCTCCAGAAATTGTGAATGCTCCAACACTGAAAGTTTTTAAGAAGAAATTGGACAAACATTTGTCTGAAATAGTACAGGGTTTCTTTCCTGCCTAAGCAGGGGGTTGGACTAGAAGACCTCCAAGGTCCCTTCCAACTCTGTTATTCTACTCTACTCTTTAGTTGTCCCTCCAGATGCAGCTAGAAGTCCTAAAGCAGGAACTGACAATAAGCGTCATTTCCTTCCCCTGGCGAGGTGTCAAAAACCATCTAGGTGACAGGCATGACAGGCCCATGCTGTGCTGGATGAATGTTGTTGGTCTGTAGTCAGAGATTGCAAACATGGGTTAGGCCCCAACTCATGATGCAGGCTTGCTTCAACGGGGGGGGGGACTTTTAAATGAGATCAGAGTTAATTGGAAAACTCTTCTGAAACGTTGTTCCTCAGCCAAGTCACAAGACTCTGATATAATCACATTCTTCCTGTTTACTTTGCCTCTGTTCCTCTCTCCCTTCTGTGTTATTTTCTTGGTTCCTG